TTGGTGCTCCTGAGCTTGGTTGTTTGCTTGCAGATATTTCACTACCAACTAGATAACATCATCAGTACTAGTGAGTTGGAGTTTACTCTATGTTTATATACAGTAGCCCTTGACCTACATTGCTGCTGGGGTGTGAGTTTTTCTTTGGTAATTCCTTGATTAGGATATAGTTTTCTGTTTATTTATCTAGTGTCTATCTCTTCTTATCAGAGTGTCAGCTGCTGGAGGGAAAGGGTTCTAGTCTTTTTGTTTTCTTCTTAGCTTTTTGTTTTTTCTTTTGAATGGTATGTAAATGTGCTTAACTCTATGTGTCTACTGATGACTGGTTTGCCTGAGTGCCAATTTCCGAGGAATTCCTAGTAGTTTTGGATTTAGCTTGTCTAGGATGTTCACAGTTTTCCAGTTGAAACTATGGTTGAATCTGTCCATGTGTGGTGAAACTGAAGACTTTTTAGCATGTCTTCTGACTGCTTCATGTATTCATAGATGCGCTCTGCTAGTCTTCTGCTGGTCTGCCCTACATAGTATCTGTTACAGTGTGTGCACTTCATGTTGTAGATTAGTCCTGTTTTTTCTTCTGGGGCTACTGGCTCTTTTGGTTTGCTTTAGAGGCTTTGGTTCGCTTATATGCTATACTTTTTTAATATAATATTTTATTAATTTTCTATTATTGCAATTCATAAGTGCTTAATGAACACCATGTTGTCTGGATTGATTTGTTTTGCTTAGTAATACAAGTTAAATTCTTACTCTCTTTTCCAATTTTCCAGCCATTGATAAAATAAATTCCATGTTTGAAAATATTCTGTATCTTCTTTTTCTTTGATCCTCAATGTAAGTCTATCCATTTCAGCACAGTCCAGCATTTTCTTGATTATCTCTTCATCCAATGGTGTTTCTTCATTTTTCCAGTGCTGAGCAAATACAATCCTCACTGCCGTTAATACATGTAATGTTAGATATACACTTTGTTTATCAAATTTTTATGGAATCATACCTAATACAAAAAGCTCAGGTTTAAGACCAATGTGTTTCCCTAACATCTTTTCTAACCAAATATGTATTTTTGTCCAAATTTTTTTGCTTTAACACACATCCACCACAGGTACTGTATGTACCAGGATTTTGATTACATTTCCAACATTTACTAGACATATATTTAAACATTTTTGCTAATCTAATAGGTGGTAGGTGCCATCTATAAAACATTTTATATAGGTTTTCATTATTTTCTTCTATTATTAGGTCTTTACTGAAGGCACTCTAGTGGGCAGTTCATAGAATATTTATTTTCCTCTCTGAGATTTCCAAGCATTTTGTAAATTCTTTGCCTATGTTGTATGTTGGAGTCTCTAGTAATGATACAATTGGATAAAGAGGTATGCCAGAATTGTGCATTTTGGAGTGTCTATAAGGTGTGGGAGGATGGGCCCACTGTTTGTCCACCACCACTGTTCTTGTTTTATGATTTGACTTGGGTTAAATGTTTGGGTTATAAGGTTTTTTTTTTTTTAATTAGGTTGTCTACTTTTTATATTGGGTTGGTGATCACTGAGATGTAGATTTCTTTGTCTTCCAGTAATTCTTTGGTTTTGTATGTATTGTGGTTTGGCCTTTGTCTGCTGTATTCTTCTGGTTTGTGGCATGATTGTTTGCCTCGTATTTTCTTGGGTCTCTGTAGCAAGTTGTGTGGTTTTAAATGCTACTTCCAAGGCTGCCAAGAATGCTAACTGATTAGCATCATCTGTGTTATAGTTGAAGCCTTTCTGGAAGAAAATGTGTTGTGCGGTGGATAATGGGCAGCTGGATAGGTTGACTTTCCATTTGGGTTCAATTACCTCTTTGCTTCTGTTTCTTAAACAGTTTGGTTTGGAGCTTTGTTTTCCTTTTTTAGCTTGTCTTAGAAATGTAGTCTTGAATATTGCTGTCAGCATTTTTATGTCTTCTGGGATCATAGTTTCTTCCAGTTGTTCCTTTAAAGTTATGCTAGGATTTGTTTGTTTGATATGTTAGCATTTCTTTAGTCAGGAAGGGTAAACTACTGCATATAAACAGAGAAAAAATCCACCCCATTCCGTCACTTACTCAGGTGACAAAATGTCTGCAAGAAAGCAACCAAGCTCAGAGAGCATCAAGGACTCCAAACTTCAACCCTGAGCTTCATATATTCTCTTCCATCTATATAAACCAATCAAACCATAATGTTTTTTTTTCTTTTTTTCACATTCCTGAATGGTTCCAGAAAATTTGGGGGGGGGGATTGTCTTTGTTACTAAAATAAAATTTTCACTGGAAAGGAAATATTTGAAGACAAGTGTGCAGAGCATCAGCAATAATAATTAGTGACAGAAAAATCTATGAAATAAATTCAGGCAAGTCTGTTCATTAAAAGCAAGAAAAGAATACCAATTTCTTGTTACATTCATTGCTGAAGTCACTCAGACAAGATCAAAGCATGACGAAAGAAAAACTTATATTAAAGACTTTACTGACAGCAATTCATTAAAAAACATAAATTAGCACTTCAGCTAACTCCTCTATTTTTATATACACCATTGATTTTCATCAGATAATAAAGAAAAAAACTCACTGTCTCATAAAAATCAATTGTCAGAGATTATTCATATTTATGTTTCAAACGATCTCATTTAATTGTTGCTAAATGAGGGCAGCTTCTTATGCTACCTTGAATGTTCATTTATCAATTCCCAAATATAAGAGATCGTAGCAGAGACACCAGGTGGAGTTACAACAGTATCCTAACTCAGATATCACACATTCTAAGATGATACTTACATTTTTAAGGATATTAAGGAGGTAGAGACAACTGTACTGCCTCTCTCAATTATCTGCCATATCTGTGGAAACTATTTGTAACAAAATGTCAGCAAATATTCCCAGTCATCCAGATAGAGTTGTCTGGATAACTGAATCACAACAAATGTACTTATTTTCTTGTTGGTTTGAGAAGTTTTGCTGTTCATCCAAGCAGCTTCCTCAGTCGGGTTCATCGAGATATTGCTGCGCATTTTGAGGAAAAAATCCTGAGGCTGGTACAAGAGGTTGGTGCAGGAGGAGAACATTCCAATGTTCTCTTACAACTTGATCTGTCTGAAGAAGCTGCTTGGATGAGCAACAAAACATTTCAGACCAACAAAAAAATAGGTCCAGTTGCCATGATTCAATTTTCCAGACTATTTGTAACAAAGAATTTTCAGTGTGAAGTCTCTTCATACAAGAGATTTTCCAGGTATCATTAATTATTTGAAAACTCCATGGATAAAAGAGGTTCCCTTCTCTATGAAGAAAATAAAAAGATAGTGATAAAATATTTGTGAGTAGAACTGTTCCTAGTTTGAATACAAGAGAACTAATGATAATCCACCAAACAAGAGATTGAAAACAGTACATGGAATAGGGAAGTGGGGAAATTGGTGGCACTGTAGGATGAGCAACATAATCTTGAAATATGTTTGGACTCCACAATACTCCCATAAGATCCCTTCACTGTATTTATATATTTGAAAGATTTAATGAATTTTCATTGCCTAAGCTAGAAATGTTACAACACTAGTAACAGAAAGCTTCTTTGAAGTTACTGAAGAAATAATGTAATAATACTGATATATATAACAAGAAGCATGAAACAAATATGAGAACTTGGAATCAATATTCTGTCAAATGATTTTGGGAAATACTCTGGAGCAGGGGTCCCCAACCCCTGGTCCGTGGACCGGCACTGGTCCACGGCATCCCAGCAACCTATCTGTGCAAACAGGTGAAGCTCCATCCATGGGATGCAGACAACACACCAAACTATGATCCCTTGGGTCTGCGGAAAAAACTTTCTCCATGAAACTGTCCATGGTGTCCCTGGTGTCCCTAGAGCATTTGATCCAGGAGGGAGAGAGGGACGAAGGGAGGGAGGGAGGGAGGGAGGGAGAGAGAGAGGGAGGAAGGAAGGAAGGAAGGAAGGAAGGAAGGAAGGAAGGAAGGAAGGAAGGAAGGAAGGAAGGAAAATAAGTCTATCTTTCAGCCTCTGTCCTCCCCTGTGTTCCCATTTTGTAAGCATTTTTGTTATATTAAAGAAATAAAGAAAATAATTTCATTTTGTATACACTTCATTCAAAGTGTAAAAACCTAATTAAATGGACTGAGATGTGGAACTTATGCAGAGTTTTAATTCTTCTACCAGTTATTCATTTTAGGTGATAGTGAAACATTTGTGCTGGAATTTTAAACTGAAAAATATTTGTATAATAGTACAGAAAAAAAGAAAGCCTAAATCAACCTATAGGGAATATACTATTTCCTATCTATCAGCTCAGAACAACAGATGAGATCTAATAAATATAACCAGTAGACAGCAGGGACAGATAAAGAGTCACAAAGAATAAAAACATTGCAGCAATTCAATCTCTACTTCCCACTCCAGCACAATACATCTCCACTAATATTAAGTCATGACTTAATATTTCTTTTCAACAGGGAGTTTTTTCTTGGATTGAAGCTATAGTAATTTCTTGTAATGGATACTGTTTAAGTGAAGTGTGCTTTGTCTGACTGAGTAGGAAAGTTTTGAATAATATTCTTTTTCATTGATTGAAATATATGCATACATACAGTACGTACATGCCTATCATACAATTTCCTTTTAAACTGAACAGTATTATTAAAAGCACAGAAAAGGGAAAAAATAACAAGCAGTATAAGTTAAACACATGCTGTGACAAAAGTAAGGGTAAATATAGACAAAATTTAGTTAACTCCAAGATACTTCCTGTACTTTTCATAACTTTCTGTTTTTACAACCCAATCATGTTTTCAGTACACCCATACTCTGTTCCTTACTCATTCATTTATTTTAAAAGGCTTATATAACTGCTCTTTTGTAACAACTCCAAGTGATTGACAGCAGAAAAACAACAGAAACCCCAATCCATAAAACAAAAATCAATAGAAATTTATAACAATTTAAGGTACCTTGGGGTAGCACTTACCCATATATCCATCCGCCATCTTGCTGATCCCAACATTTACAGGTATTCTTAAACTTACAACCACAATTGGAATCAGAATTTTCATTGAAATTTGTTGTGGTCAACAAGTCAAGTGGGGCTCAATTTTATGACATTTTTACAGTGGTCATTAATTGAATCACCATAGTCATTGAGTGAATCATGTGATTGTTAAGTGAATCCAGCTTCCACAACGGGGAATTTTTCCTGTAAATTGGCAAAAAAAAGGTTGCAAATTGTGAACTCAGGACTCTACAACCAGTCTTAAATATTAGCCAGTTTCCAAGTGCCCAAATTAGAATCACATGACCAGAGGATGGTGTGATGGTCACAAGTGTGAGTGCCGGCATAGACTACCTATAGTGTGTAGCAATGATGGTGAATCTTTTAGAGACCGAGTGCCCAAACTGCAACCCAAAACCACTTATTTATCGCAAAGTGCCAGGGCCACATCAGCATTGTGGTGCCCTCGGGGGTGCAGGGGGCATGGCCCACTAGGTGAGCATAGCCCACTGGGTGGACGTGACTGCGGTGGTCATGGCAGACTGAGTGGGTGTGGCTGGGGTGGGCATGGCCACCTCAATATTGCTCGTGGGGGATGCCTATGGGGGCCAGGCAAGGTTGGGGGAGATTCAGGGGGTCTCTAGTGGGTGGGACAGTGGGCATGAGGCTCATCCTGCAGGGTGAGGCAGGGGGCAGGGCATGGGTGCCATTGCTCTGGAACAAGGCAAGGTGAAACAGGCCAGGATGGCTGCTGCCTGACACTATCAGTCTCCACACACAGAGGCCAGCAAGCGCATGGGGGTTGATAGTGTCCATGAGCAGCCACAGCCTGCCAGCCCTGCAACCAGTGCACTCTGGGGCTCCACAGCCCATTGCCAATACCAGGCCAGCCCTCTAGCAGAAGACACAGTAGGGGAGGGGGGAGGCATGTGATGCAGATCGCTGGACATGCCTACTCTGTCCCATCTGTTTTTGCTTGTGGTTGGAGAGCAGGTCACTGCTAGTTATCTCCTTAGCCTCCTTGCAGATCCTGCCCTTAGCCCAGGCATGGAGCATGTTCCCCTCATGCACCGGACACAACTTGGCTTCGGGCCACTGCTGCCAGCAGCTCACACAGGTCCATTAGGCCGCTGCCACCAGCCAGACTAGCAGCCCCATCCAGCACAAAGGAGGGGAAGTGGCCAGCTAGCAAGCTCAAGTAGAGGTGGTAGAGCACGCTCACACCCAGAAAGCCAAAAGCCACCCCAAGCAGGGAAAGCCTGATCCCAATTGCCCCCCAGTCCCAGCTAGGATTGCGTGCCTCCCCCCATCTTTGCTTGGCCTGGGCAGCCATGATGCCGATGGGGATCCAGCTTTCCCCGCTTGGGGTGGCTTTGGTTTGCTGGCCCTGGGTGTGCTCTACCACTTCTACATGGAGCTTCCTAGCCAGCCATTTGTGCTGGGTGGGGCTGCTGCTCCGGGCAGCAGCAGTGGCAGTGGGGGCACACGTGAGAGGGCTCTGAGTGTCATTTCTGGGATGTGTGCCATAGGTTTACCACCATTGCTGTATAGTAAGAGCTAGGCTTTCAAGGCCTTCCAGAAGGCAAATATTTGATACCTTCTATATTTTATTAAAAAATGTTCTTAACTAAAATAATATTTGATATTTGTTTTACTTCCTGAAAATTTAAATATAATTTTTCTATCCCATTTTTGTTGTTATTATTGTTCTTGTTACATAAGCTGCAGCAGCTGTTCAAAATCTTTTATTCTATATATCTGTTAGGCATAAAAAAACAGGGCCTTTTTCTGACAGAAAGCCTATGTACAGATAAATATTTAAACATTGAGATAAATATTTAAATTTATTTCCATACTTTTAATGAGAAAATTCCTGTTTTAATTTAAAACAAGATGTATGTTCTAGTTTCACTCATTTATAAACTATTAATGTTTTAATTTGCATTTTCATCAGAAGGACAGGAGACAAATTTCTATTTTTTCCAGACTCTGAAATGTTCCTTAACTAAGTACTGCTTATCATTGCATTATGTGTTACCTATGTTGAAGGTACAAATCCAGTGGCAGTGATTCAGCTCCTCATAACATACTTCACACAATTTGGTAGTATGGAGAAGAAAGCAAACAATTTAAATTCTATCTTAGTTTTCTCAACCTTGGCAATTTTGAAACATATGCTCTCTCTTTCTCCCATGTCTAGGGAATTCTAGGAGTTGAAGTTCACATGTCTTAAAGTTACCAGTGTTGAGAAACACTGCTTTATTCTCTCTTTGTCTCAGATAGAATTTCTTAAAAGAATGATCCTAAGACCATTCAGGGATCCTCAAAATCAAAATAATTTGCCCAACTATGCTGAAACAGAATATAATATTAAAGTCCCATCAGAAATCATGAGAAGTGGTAATGGCAGCCAATGCATCCATTTCATTTTTAATGCAGTAACTATTGATAAATATAATCCATATATATAGTGACCATACATCTTTTATTATGCAATTTATTTCAGCAACTTCTCATTTAGATTTATTTTATTTAATTATTTATTTTCTTGCTCTTGCTCTTGATTTTTCCTTTGTAAAACAAAGTTATAAACATGATTTTTACTTTTATGAACCTTTTTCAGATTCACCCCTTTGTTCTTTATTTTTTTCCAAGATAATATAGTCACTGTACCCATAGAAACAAAAGTTCTTTGGGGTCTGCCATAATTTTTAAAAATGGGGAATAGTTCTGAGGGGGGAAGGAAAGTTTAAGAAAGTTTAAGAAACTAGTCTAAGAGATTGCTAATCTGGGGTAACTTCCTTCTGTTCCTCTTCTCAAGCACCCAGACAGAGCACATTCTCTTTCATTATTCTTATGTGGGATGGTTCGTACTATGATTTGCCAATCTCTATAATGTGTTTTATGGAAATAAACTTCATTTATATTATACTTTTAAAACTGTCTCACTAATCATTGCTTAGGTCATGCTCCTGAAATCAGAATGCATGCACACACAGAAACATGGTGGTTCAATTTTTAATAGCCTAGTCCTTATACAGCTACTACAGTACCTACCTTACTAACTACCTTAGAAGTAGTTATAAATAGTCTTTTGGTGTTAGATCAGGTACAGTAAATTTGGTTTCAAAGATTGTTACTTAAATTTACTTTATTCTTTATCTGAAGTATTTTTTATGAATGTAATGAAAAATTGAAAATAAAAAATCTTTTACAAAAAAAAAAGATTGTTAGTTAGAGAGCATGTTACAAATGTGTTGTACTTGGAAGAAAATCACTTGAAGCATCCATATTCAAGGGAAATGAAAACTACATTTTACTTTCCATCATCTAATCTACAATCTACTCCTGCAAGTTCAGAGAGAAAATCTTAGGGGGTGCAGTCCAAGAATCAAGCTAAAGAAAGAGCATAAATACTGAAGGCACTGAAGAATTAGTTATTTACTGAACTCAAGCATAAATATCTCAATAGACAGGATATAAAATAGAATATCAGGGGTGGAATTTCACATTCAACTCTTCAAAAGCAAGATTATACTCAGGAAATGGAACATATCACATCAGAAATGTTGGGGTTTTATTAGCTGGAGTACATTCTCTTCCAACATTAATTAATCTTGCCTAATTAGACCAATTTTTGTTATTATTAAAAGCCTTGTTTCCAGTTTTTTTAATACAAATACCACCTAATTGATCTTTGCTGTTTTCCTTCTTCCAGAGTCTATATGTACCCTTCACAGGACAGAAACAATTTTGAAATTAAAAATGGCTATTCAAAAGTAATGTTCTTTTTTCTCTCCAAAATACTATTGTCATTGTTTTGGCTATTCAACACCATCAATGTACCCATTTTTTTAAAAAAAATATGCATATTTAGAGATTTTCCCACACTGTATGTAAAAATGTAAAATTGGTATAGCCATAGTTCAGAATGGAAACGGAGCATAAACAAAAAAAGTTTTATTCAATTTATAGAAAAATTGGTTTTGAGCAGACTTGAAGAAATAAAGACAGCACTGGAAAATATTCTAGGAGTCTCATCTAAACTTTTAAGGGTGACAAGGAAGGAAGTATTGTGGTCCAAGGCCATGGGTGGCCCTTGACTCCAAAAAGCAGAAACAGAAAGCATTATAAGATGGAAAAAGGTAGATAGTGGTACCTGATGCTCACCCATATTTTCACTCCTTACTTCTTATCTGCAGTTTTAAATTAAACCTGTCCAAGTTTAATATGACATACATTATAATTATGAGGATGCCTGACTGAAATAGTCCAAATTCAATATTACGATGCTATACTTAGTGACCATACTATAATAAGCTTCCTGGGAATAAATGCTATTTAGTTAAATGGAACTTAACTGTAGAATAAAATCCAATGGTAGCAGATTTTTACATCCCAAAAACCTTGGCAGTGGCTTAGACAATGTGAATTTATAGTTAGAGTTACAAACTATAATGTGGTTTCCATATCACATTATATATCAATCCATAATTGCATAGTGTGCTGTGAGAATCAGACTACTTTGGATAAGTTCAATAAGCCATAGTTTGAAAAATCCTAGTTCATTGTCATGTGTAGACAAAACCACATTTTAATATTATATGACAGAATGTTTTAACCCTGGTCATTTTAAAATGAGTGGACTTCATCTCCAAAACTATGGCTTGAAATGGAAAAACTTGGGAAACACTGCTATATGAACATTTCAGTATTTGTTGACTAATTCTGTTTGGTTGCATTTAAGTACTATTGTTTATGCAAACCTATATCCCAGAAGGAAGCTGATAAGCCATCATTTATCTGACTTCATCCATCTGTTGCTCTATTAGTTCATTCTAGTCTCATAGCTTTTATTTTTTAACCAGAGAATGTCCTCCAGCCATCAGCTTTCTACTCTACTGACTACACATTTTACCACAAAACTGAAATATCAGATAAATAGTTTGGATTTCCATAATAGAAAGAGCACATTCATCGTATCTCTAAATTGGTTGAATAAAGGTGTTATGAATTAATCAATAAAATAACTTCAGTTTTATTTCTGGTTTGAAATAAGAATTTTGTTTAGTTAAGGCAATAAGCTACTTGACCCCACTAACTAGATTTGTATTGTGCCTCAGTTTTCTGCTGACTCAAAACCCATGAAAGCAGATTTTCCCTTGATGATGTTAATTCACCTGC